TGTACAGTAGTTACAATAAAGATTAGCGATGGATATTTAAATTCATGAATACTACACACAGAGCGGATTACGTTATAGTCATTTTGAATGTTCGCAATAACGGAGGATTATCGTACAATTGGAACGACGCGATCGACGAAATTCACTTACACCATTTTTTTCTTCCACTTGTTGTCAAGTTTTCGACAGAATTTTAGTTAAGATCGGTATTTAGAATAGTACGAAAGAGATAGTAAATCTCGGTGAGGTTAAGAGATTCACGAGGAAGAGTTCGAGATTAAAAAATAATCGAGCAATTTAACCGTTGCTTCCAACGAAGGAGCAATGATCGCGTATGTATCGATGAATTCTAGAACCACGCATACATACACATGTACATACAGTAAATTGTTCATAGCGGAAGCGCAACGTGTCTCACTCATACGCGTGTTACCTTTCTCACTCGGAAATCACAGTTGAACATTGGTTTTTCTATGTTACCCGTGGCACTCGTATGTTTTATTTGAATTTTAGTGAAATTAAGTGGCACGCCAGGTGCATTAAATGAAATTTATATCTCTCGTCGAAGAGAATACGTTACTGTCCCCCTATCGAAGAACGGAAACCGACGATCAGGAATCGTATAATGCAAAACGCTAGCTGGAAAATTTGATATTGATCTGAAACAACAAGCGGTATAAAACGGCTCGTTAGATGCGAGCAAACGGTTAATAATTACAAATACAGCCAGCCATTAAGTGGTTCTCTTTCAGGCACACACGTTATATATTTGCAGATTTGCTCCCCTTTCACTATACGCTCCGTTATTTTCGCACAAGAATCACAGTTAAATGTTTGGTACACTATAGTAGAATTGCAATCCTTTCAACACTTGCTATAGATCAGAGAAACTATGTACGTTATGTGAAGATAAAGTTACAGAGCTTTCTCGTCTCGCACGATGACGGAAACGTTTTGCGGCAAAACTAGAATGTCGAACCGATTGAAAGAAAAAAAAAAGAAAAAGAAAAACGGCAAGGGAACGAGAAAACAAAGAAAGAATAGAAATTTCCTTATTACGGATGACGCTACAAGATCAAGAAAAAGCAATATGTTCGTTTAACGAGATTACGAGGGTTACTTTAGCGAGGTTACAATGCCATTTCGCGTGTTTTCTCTGCTATTTACGCATATATAAGTATATCCCATACTTTTACATGGATCACAGTTGAACAATTGATATTTTTCGACAGGCCCGATCGGTAAAAGCTTCGAGGCTGTTGCCTCATTGAGGCAGGCCAGACGCGGCGCCGAGGCGTGGGGCACCGTACAGCGAGTACGGAGAAAAATACGGTGGTAATCCTGCGGCTGTATGCGGATGCGTTGGCGGCAACGGTAAACCCAACGACGACAAAGATGGTGGCAACAACGGCGAAGGTTTCCCGTAAGGGTGATAACGCGCGGTCGCAAGCGGGCTCAGGGGTGGTGTTGGATAAGTTCTTGAGAACAAAGGATGCGTCGGTGGTAGACCAACGGAAGGCGACAACAGTGACAACGCGGTTGGCGTGGGATCTGTTGGCCCGTTGTTCGACATGTTCGTGTGACTCCTTAGATGCTGCAGCAATTCATCCGATGTCGAGAACCTCTTGCCACAGTAAGCGGTGTCGCCAGCGATCCAATTGCAAACGTACGGAAGCTGCGACGCTGCTGCCAGAGCAGCTAACTGCGCATGCGCGTACGCGGCTATACCCAGCGCACCGTAGCCCGCTGCCGAGCCAGGGGCCTTGTGATCGCACTGAGCACAGCCTGCAGGGCAAGAGGCCACTGATGCTGTGCTGCTCGTCCCGCTGCTTTCTAACTTTCTATTAGCCAATAGCTGACAACCGGTGCAGTATGGATCCCTGCAGATCCTCGAGTAGCTTAAATACGGATTCCCAGCTACCAAGCCATTCTTCAGTGATGCCTGTTGCTGTGATACTAAACAACTCGCCATCACGTCGATCGGTAACTGTGGAGTGTAGCCCAGGTAACCGGAGCTCGTCGAGGCTAAACTAACTCCAGGTTTGAACGTTCCTAGGGGAAGATCCTTGATGGACGGATCCGTCATCGCTAGCACACCGGCTGGACTGTAGGATGGCTTCGACTGTTGCAACGACGGACTGCTCACTACAACAGGTTGAGAAGAGGATTCGAGCGAAGTTGAAGAAAGATTTGCCGCAGACATCCTCGCGGAGGGAGATTCGCGAGCTACGTCGCCATTCGGCGTTGCAGTTTTTCGTCCTTGTGGCGTCACTACTCGAACCGAAGAGGCACTCTGATTACTCGGGCATCGTTTGTTATTGCTACCAGGTGTTCTCGATCGGCCGGACGACGAATGACTAGAGGCCGATCGCTGCTCATCTGGGCTCGACGCCTTCTCGCGACCCAAACACGACTCGTACGGCTTGAAGTTGGTTTTGCTGGACTCCGTGGTGGTTGATGCGACGCCTGTGATCACAGGTGACGATTTCTCGCGCGAAGGATCAGATGACTTGGACGATTTGTTCGCCGAACCTTTGTCCAACGAACCCAACAGAGATTTATTGGACGGCGTGTCGACTCCTATTTGGCTGCAAGTCTGTGCGAGCAGTGCAAGTGGACTCTTCTTTGCATCCAGCTGAAAATAGAAGAACTTGGTGTCAATGGAGGCCTGTTAGTGTTCTGGTTGTGTAAATTGTTTCTTACGCTGGGTGTATCGACGTATATGTACGAAGGTTTTATGACATTAGACACTATAAATAAGTTTTAATTTATCCAATTTTTATAATTGTACGTAACACGTAAAATAACGATTTGCTTGCTATTTAAATTGGTCTTAAATTTTCTGGAATGTTTCAATTATTCTCAATGGAAAAAATATGTTTGCAATTTTTTAATTATCTTCTAAACGAATTAAATTAAGTTCTTAATTAAATACATATCCTTTCTAAACATATTTTCAGGGGTACAGATGATTGTAATTATGTAACGAGGAATCTTATGTAAGTACATACATTTATATTCTACTAAATAATAAATATGATGCGTATGGAAAATTTGATTACATTCGTTTAAATTATCAATGTTAAAATTGTTAATGTTAATTGTATTAATTTACTGTTGAAAGGCATGGACGTTTTGTGCACAACGAATCAAGTCGTTAAAAGAAGAGAAAATTAAAAAGGCTGTTTAACACAGGAACTTGACCAATTAATAAGTAGTTTTCGAGGTAGACGCGGGAGAGTATGTGTAAGAGGAACGAGTGTGAGAATGTAATATCGGCGCCGGCCAAGTGTACGAAGCGGCTTCAAAGTAGCTAGGATGATGTAGTTGGTATAATTAGCGTATAGAGGAACGATATTTCTCGCGGCTGATACGTCCATCGAACAGATGTTCACCGTAATTAAAATGCAACGTTCATACAACTAACCCACCGTTTACGGTTGCTTCTGCTAATGGCGCGATGCCGACAGATATTAATGCCAATGAATTGCAACAGGCTATTACGGCATTACGGTTCAAGCTGTTATATATGTTAATTGCTCTCGCACAACTTAACGGAACACGCTCGATCGTAGTATTTTCATCGTCAACGCTAACCTATAATCTATAGTAAAATAATCCTTTTTAAAATTCCCCCTTTATGACCCACCATGATTTTATTACAATGATCACGCAATTATCCCCACAACCAAGTCCTCCATTAATCCACGGTTATAACATTCATACGAAATTTACAGGGTACAAAATGTTCGAAATAACAATTAGAAAATCAGAAAGAATTGGTTCGATTCATAATTTCAGTGTAATCCAGTTTTCTCGTTTGGAAATGAACTTTTGGCAACGGCAAAAATTTTCCTGAATCATAATTTTAACGAAATGCCACGTTTTCATGCTGAAATGTTTGACAATAGTGTGCTAATTACTTGTTGCTTGTTGCACACCGGTGATACCAATTGAAACACTACGCATGCTCTTTACAGTGCACTCGAAGTACACGTAATGTTTATAACCAAAGCTTCGGTTAAAAATGCATTACGACAAGCACTGCACGTCGTTAAGTTAAATTGTGGCACAAGAGTATTTCCACGAAAAAGAAGGAACAATCCGGTAAACAAATAACTAAAGAGTAAGAGGTTAAACTTTAAAAGAAAAGAGTGAAAAAGAAAAATAAGGAAGGAATAGGGATCGTGGTTTCGTTCGTTTTTAGCACGTACGCGCTCTCCCGTGCCTATCTTCACTGTATACCGCATTGTATACCGAATTGTGTTTTGATTTACGCCGCTCGTAAATCAGCGAACGTTTAAGCAGAAACTTTGCCAGTACTCGCTGTCCTCAAACTAGTTTACAGGAATTAAAGCATAAAAAGTGAAATGCATTCCCGTTGCGCTTAACAAAAAGCCGACAGCCAGAATTAACGACCTGTCGAAACTTTTGTCCTACGCGGTATTTATTTTATATCGACGTAATCACGTCGCGTTGACAGCTATGATAACATTGCTTCTGCTTCAACGAATCTTTTTCAATCTGCTTAATTACACATTTCTATAGTACTTTAAAACGGTTAACTTCAACGATCCAACTTTCGTTTATTTTATTTGTCCGTGAAACTTTCGTAAAAATTTCTTTCGAAATAAACAACTTCACGTTGTTTCAAAACTGTGTCTTACGTTTGAATCGGAACGTGTGTGAAACAGTGAAAAATAAGAAGGTATGTTTCGATGTAATTTCAACAGTGTGAAAAGTAAAATGGAAGACAAATTTAACCCGTATGGCATTCACGTTGCATCGTGCAGAAACTCGATGAAATATTTCTAAGCACACTATAAAACGTCACTGTAGTTGGAACAGACGGAGAGAAAAAAACAGATGAAAGAAACGGAAACATGACACTAACCGTAGTAGGTAGAGGCGTAAGATATTCCGGACGGAGGTACTGATTCGTACTCGAAGTCAGCATCTTAAAAAAATGTTCACCCTATTTGTCTGCACAAGTAGTACTCTCCACGTGTAATGGGTAACACTGTGATCACTCGCGACAGTCCACGAAGGACTGGCAAAGGAGAGAAGGAATGCCCGACGAATCCGTGGAAACACTGTCGTTGTACTCTTTCTTATATCCGTTCTGGCAACATAATTATAGTGCACGTAAACGAAGCCATTTGGCTTCTAACGGCGTATCCCAGTGTATACACAACCTTTTTTCAACGTATAAGAGGCACAGAACACTTGGAGATGAAGGAAAACGAAAAAAAAGAAGATACACTGTGCGCGATACACGATACGCCACATTTGCTTCCACGACCGGCTTCAACTCGCGACTGAGTTACTTCTCGTACTGTTCTCTCCAACTACCCCCACCACTCCCCTCAAGCACCCCCACCACTTCCCCTCCTACCCACTACCTCTCTATCGATGACCGTTCAGCTGACTTACCCGGCCCCACCAAGCTCCCCCGGGGAAGCTTACCCCTACATCGCTCTGTCGGTATATCCCAGTTTCTCCCACCTAACCGAGACCCCTTTAGATTTTCTAGCGATGGAAGTAACACTCTCTTACCAAAAAAAAAAACACCCTATTTCAAACGATACTTTGATTTACTTACTACCATTTTCGCAACGAAATCAATGTTGAAAATTAACAACGAAACGCATCGCAATTCTTTCTACGCTCAAACATTTCAAATCAGTTAGAAACAACTTCCAACATCTCTATTTATAAATCGAACAATCTCCAAACGAACACAAGATACATCGGGACGAAAAATCTACAGTTTCTCTGCACGTGAGCAATGAATCTACCAAAACTATATACTACATCTAGATAGCGGCACTTGTTAGTCGAGCGCGTTAACTCGCGAACGACGAGAAACGAGAACCATGTGAGAACGTGGAAATTGTCGAAAACGAAGGAAATGTGAAACCACGAGAAAATTCGCGGTTGCGTACAGCTCGTAACCGTTACTAGCCACAAGGAGCGTAGATTTGCCCAGGCTGGTGAAAGGTATCGGTACGACGGCGAGGAGGACAGCGAATAGCAAGTGCGGCGCGACTAACCAATACTAACGAAAGAGACAAAGGTGACAGCGGCGCAGTGGTGGCGCGGTGGCAATCGTGACGGCGCGGCGGCGGCGGTGGCGTTCGCGACACGGTGGTCGTT